AAATCATGTTCTGAAGATATGTAATATTAAGTTCTGAAATATATCCTACAACAGTTTCAAGTAAAGTGCACACCGACTGATTCAAGGATCAAACCGTGGAGCTGTTGCATCAACTAAGTATCAGTACTAGCGAACATCGACACATGGTGGATTCTTTGGTAAAGTCTGACTCTGACAGCTAGAATACCTGTTCGTAACAGGCTTCTTGTCGGTCAATCAGGACTTGCGTCAATGAATGCTACGGAGGTTGGCTACGAAGGCTGGAATTCGACTGGGCTCGGTAATGCAATAAAAATTAGTGCCATGGAACCTGCCGCATCTTGGCCCGAGCATTAACGGTGCTACTCTTCCTCTGACGCTCCAAGGAACATAACTCGGGTTACTCGGCTGAAGTAACGGGCAATTTTAACGTTGCTCCTGAACGAGAATTCATGCCAAAAACGCAGCGTGTCGCACAAGGCGCATAGTTAATAAAATCGTAGCCGATCATTAGTAGTGAGAAATAAATTAGGCAAGAAGTTTACTGCCAAGTGGGAGGGAATAAGGCGTATTCAAGTGGAATGCAACTATAAAAAGCTGAGCTGGTACAATTCAAGGCGACTAAATACGACAAGAAATCTGATGAGGAATATGTACATCTTGCACAGCTGCGCAGTCAAATGAACGGTCGAATAGCGTGTGTTTTATCGAGGCGCTCCTTGGTTCCATCTAAATTTTGCGACAGAAATTGACACACTGCTTTCAACTGCAGCAAATGCATCTGTATTACTCATCACGTCGTCGTCCTTGCCAAACTGTCGTGTAATGTAATGATCTCTCCGGAATTCATATCACAATACTAGTTATACTACGAAAAATCCGATTCCCAGCTCTGATTCTGTTCGCAAGTCTACTATTATCACCAAATAGTTCAAGCAACAAATTTCTCACATCTTGCCATGTTAAGCATTTCTAACTGAAAATAGCTATAGCTACACTATCATCTTATCAGTGGAATGAAAAATCTACCACATCATTATTTGCGAGCCGCTATACCCTATACCTCTAATTCTGCAATGTTAGAATTCAAATTTTTTTTTTCTTTAAATTTCCTCAAGCAATTCATGTTTGTCCAATTTTTACACTATTGCAAGAATGCTGCTGCACTTGGCAACTCGTCCAACCAAAACGCCTTTCGCCGCCGATTATCTACTAGCATATTGTCTTATCGCAATTCAAAATGCTAGTGATAAGCGCTAAATTAAGGAAAAGAGAACGAGTCTATCAGCAAGCTGCAAGTAGCGAAGTAGTAAGAAGCACCTTTCAGGGGAGTAGACATTTTCATCGTTGTAATGCTCCATGACTGTAGAAAGACTAAAATGACGTAGCAATCCACTGAAGAGCTCCACCGGAAGAACTAACTGTGTTCTTACTTCATCGCAAAAATGAATTTAGCTTAGATCAAATGTTATATTTCACGGTCTAAAATATATTAACGGAACTCAAAGAGGCAACGCAGTACAAAGAAGTTTTTAGCAAAAACTAAAACCCTACAACATAAAATTGACACCGGCAAGTGCAATGGGGCAGAGTCAGCCCACAACTGGCAACCTAATACAGGGGAAGCGAAGCTGGTACAGCGGCGGCAGCGGTGGCGTCGGCAGCAGCAGCCATGTTTTCGCTGTTGCGTTCTGCACGTTGCCAGATGCAGGATTTTACGAACGCCAAGCGTAATGAAAAGTTAAGAGAGAGATGGAAAACGCCCTTCACAATTATCCAGTAAGGATCCAATGCAGTTGTTGTCTTGTCTCTCTCAGGATTGCATTACATGCCTGATTACAAGATTGCAGCCTTGGGGACTTATAGACAGCTCTATACTTCAACCTCCACATCTTTATCGCAAGGAAAACTTGATATTAGCAATTAGTTTTCACATTCTGCTACATTTACACATTTCACAATTTTTGTCATTCAAACTAAAGTGATGCTCATGCGATAATTCATGAACGATATTTTCGAGTTCGAATCAACTTCGGGAAAGTTGAGTCTATTCCAGTAGCGTGATCATTCATCGATATACTATACCGATACCCTTGACTATAAATTCATTATCCCTCATGAAATAAGTGACAAGGGTTCAAACAATGAGTGAGACAAGTGGCGCCATCTACGTTGTCTTCTCTGTCAGCTTACCGGCACGTAGCGGTGCTAAAAACGCTCAGCTGAGCGCATGGCGGTGCACGTCTGACGATACGAACCAAGCCGCGTCACGTTGCAGCAAATATTAACTCCCTAACTCAACGGATGTTTTCGGCACCTTTCAAAGCTGCGTTACCCGTTTGCTATCTGACGAATGTTATGACCAACATTACAACAAAATTTATTCTATCTTAAAGCCTTTATGAATACATACATCACATTCTGTCATAAATCTGATTTTCCTCAGAAAAGGTTTGATCTTATTTAGGAATATGGCCGGAGAGTTCAGATACGTTTCAAAATTTATCGTACCACAGACGGTTACCATCTGGATCTGCAAGAAGGAACGCGCGACCATCAGGTACACAGGTCGGTAGTTAACCATTGACTGGCGTGGAACAAGATAAAAAATATAACTCTGCAGTACTCGCTGCAGTGAGTGACAGAGCGCATTTTCTCGTCGGCGAAAACTTGAGGTCACGGACAGACAAACAGACAGACGGACGGACATGGCGATCACAATAGTGCATTTTTTCCATAAATGAGAAAATGCGCTAAAAATGCAAGAAACTATAAACTCATCGCCTTGTCCGCTTTCTTTCATTGATTAAGGGCAGCAGAGCCCCTAGCATAACCTATAAATTATTTAGGAGATCGGGACTCATTCGGAGTAGTAGTACAGGGACCAAACGATGTCATTTTTGTGGAAAATAGAATAAATGATTCTATTCACTCTATTCCATTCCTTCTTAATTACTGCCACTTGTTAGAACTGAACAACACGGCAAAAGTATCATTCCCATAAAAACTAGCTCAATATAATCTTGTCACGTAACACGTTGACAAAGCTACAAATTAAGAAGGTATATTTTTAATTAAAACTAAAATCAATCGACAATAAGACAAGTAATTTATGTAAGAATCTGAGATAATTTGGTTAATACGCTTTCTCAAAATCAGAAGCAAGCAAACACAGAAGATCAATAGTCTGCTCTATATTCATATTGAAGAAATCTAGTATGCAGGAGCCACACGCGCTTCACAAATCAAAATCAAGTGAATTACCAACGGCTTTCTCCTGTGGGTGAATTTTTAACCTTTCTATTGTCACGGATTATTTCTCATTCTATATTTTCGACATCTCCATCCAAAGTGACTTGGCATCGTTGCTATTCTATGGAATTCTTAAGAGGAAAGAATATAGAATCATGTTGCAGGAACACGAGTCAATATTGACTCGAGAATGCACGTGCACAGAATCTCCTATAGAGAAGATCGATCGCGGATCGGAAGTGTTCAAGTTCAAGTTCAAGTTCCGCGACCTCCTTTGACGTAAAAAACTTGCATTTTGCTAGAATTTTCCATCCAGGCCAATTACGTCGAAACAAAATTAGGTTCGTCATTTCGTCAAAAGGTCGTGAATTCAAAAGTCGTATGCATTTTAGATGGAAAGTAAATCTGACTATATAGAGAGCACTGAAATCGTCCGTTTCTGACCGTTCAACTAAATTTTAGTTACATCTCTATCACATCGGCAACACATTCAGACGTGGTGCACAATTACAGCTAGGGCACCCCAATTTGGCGAAAATTTTTATTTAACAAACGGGATCGGGGCAAGGTAAGTCCGATCCGATATTCACAACACAGTACTATCAGAACGGTTAAAACCTGCGAAGATCATCTAATAATTAATCATGGAAATTTATTTCATCACAAGTTCAGTTTTCGTTCATGCATGGCTTATGGACCATTTCAACTTGTGAAGTAGACTCGTTTCATCAGTACCGTATCTCTTAATGCGACTAATCTCAATTAAAAGCCATCGACAGTAGAAAAGTTCATTTGCATGGTTACATGGTATCAGAAACCACGTATAATATGAAAGGGAACCTTCGGCTAGAAAAATTGGAAGTATACAATGAAAGTTTCATTTTAAACATTCACATCTCAAGCATCTAGGTCTCAAGACCTAGCATTGTCCATCAAAACAATGTACAGTATTTACCGAAATTCAAAATGACGGGTATGATACTGACGAGTGTTATGTCGTTTGTAATGTACTTTATCACTACTACGTTTAGGTACCCGTTTGTACAACACAAGTTAATGGCACCTGTGGCAAAAAAAAAAATTACACCAGTATGCTGCGTCCCACAGTTTAGAGTTTCCCAAATTCGCCAGTATACCGCATAGAGTTTACCGCCCGCTGGCTTTGGTCGAATAGTATCAGAACCGCTGGAGAACGGACAATAAATTTTGTCCCAGGCTTCGTATGTCTACCAGCTCTTTCAAATTCAACTTCCCTGGAGGAACTTGCTAAAATCACTGCAGTTTGCGATAAAAATACCAGGCCACATTGACGCCTGTGATCATGTCTAATACGTTGAGTTTTGAATGCAATGGATGTTATACATCGAGTGGACCGCCAAGGGGCAGTGCTCGATTGAAATGACCTATCGAGAGAGTAAGCGGTCTGTTCAGGGCTTCTTCGCATGACAGAATGCGCACAGGAAGTCATTGGCTCGTTGCCTTCTGGGGAAAATTTTTCCATTTTCATTGATTTCAAATATCCACATCGATTTTGTGAATTTTGCGTAATAACGATATTCACGATACGTTTGGCCCCTTAACTAAAATAACAGTAAGACAAATGAAGCAATAACTAAGCAAGGACGCATTAGGATAAAAAATTTTTGCTATATTCATAAAATACTAATGACAATATACACTGCTATCTATACAAAATTAAAGCGAGAGCTTCATGCGGTGGCGTCCCATAATAATACTTTATTTCTTACATTACGTCTATTTTTACTCACAGTGATTTTTTTGCAGCACCACCAGCAACTGAAGGCTCCACCACGAGGTTGTGGCCCAGATATGAACAACCTAGAAGGAAATTCAAAAAACGTGAGCTCGACCTGTTACGCTACCTCTTGTCATGAGCACTTCATGTCAAGTTATGTGAACTTCATCATGCAGTGCAGGAATCGAATAAATACGAGTCAACTTTCCACATATCACTGGCAAACATGATTGCACAGAAAGCTCAATCCTACGATAAACGTCTCTCTGAAATCTGCAATTAAAAGGCTTAGACAAATTTCAGACAATTCATTCACACAGGACAGCATCGTATATGTAAGAACAGATTTTTTGCAGCAATCGGCATAGCTGGGACTAACACGATTCAGCTTTGATTAGAACCTAACCTGCCGTTCATTTCAACGTAGCCAAAGCTCTAGGAACGTAACATGAATAGTTTGAGTGTGAAACTCCGTCAACTAATCAAGCGAAATCTACAAAATCACAGACTAAAACCGGCCGCTGCGTTCAGAGTTTGGGAAGGACGCCAGTGCCTATATAATTCTAGTGCACTATTTCAATCCGGTAGCTCACATGACGTTAGTCGTGGGTGCGATTCACATCTCTAGTTTTCAAGTTGATATCTGAATTCTGTAACCTCATTCTGACGCGTTAGTGAAAATACCTAGTATATAAGCTCGGTAGAAATTTGAGCATCAGCTTTCATTCCGTACTGCTGGTACTTATTCGTTTTTGGAACGACGACTTGACGAGGTATCGTCGCAACAGCTCTATATCCACCATTTGAAATGTACAAGACACCGGATGTGATGTCAGTATGGTCTTTGATTTTACGATTAATAAAATTTGTAGTGTCGCTTCTTGGTTCAATGATTAGAGAAATTCGCACTGAAACTAAGAAAAACTAAGGTATGGAATGAAGTGAAAAACTAAGGTATGGAGTAAGAACAATCTCCTACAATAGACGACACATTTAAATTGATTGGTGATCCTCTAACTATCCTACGTGTTCAAAACGAGCTGATAACTCAGACCATAGTTTCTCTGCAGTCTACAGTACACCATTGACGCAGAAGTTTGGAAAGCTAGTGCTAGGCTGCTAGTCCAAGTAAGAAACTTATTGCGGCTCAGGTCGGATGGCCGGTTCATAAGAATTCCAATTTAGAACCATTAAAACAGCATTACGTAGTAGCTCAAGCTCTGAACCTAATGCTAGTAGCACCTTGGCATGCAAACTAGCCCAAGATAAAAAATTACAAAGGCGGTAAGGTCTGGAATTTCGGTTAGGATAGGCCATGAACAGTCACGAGGTTTCGACAAGCTCAAATTCGCACCTTATTGGCAAGACGAGCCATCATTATAGCGTCTAGCAAGTACAACCATTTATAGTGCTTCAGATTGAGCGCCTTCAAGTTTGACAAAAGCACATACATACAAGATGATTGCTGGAAGCCTCAGTGGAAGGAAAGGCTTTCAACGATGATCTCGACGTGTACTTAAAAATAAGTCAAAGTCAAAAATATTGTATTAACGTCGATTGGATCTTCATCCGTACATTGATTACGTAACGTAATGCAATCAGTAATCGTTATTGCGTATATTTGCGACTACTGCAATGAACTTGAAGGTGAAGCATTCGCTCAACATGCAACAAATGGAGTTTCGATCGTTGATAACTTGACCAGTTAAGCATAAATGTACAAGTGTTAAAACGGATTGACATTCAACGTCAAAACGGGGCTATACAATGAAAAGGAGAAATTGGAGAATCGATGTGAGCGTTGACTTCAGCAAAGGAACAGGCTAAAATCATAACGCCACATGGTAGACTGCCGGTAGAAACCGCACGTAACGTTAGTTTATGAATGCTCACGTAGTCATGGGCATGTCGAATTTTCTCACCTGCGTTATCAAACTTCTCTATGAAATTAACGGAAGTTTATTGGTTACGTCGTTAGCTTCAGCTCGTGTCCATATATCGAGCATAAGTCCGACCTCACTTCTCCCCGTGGCCCGTGTGCCCGCTACCCCTACCTCCCCCATCCGCAGAGGAATCCACCCAAGCCCGTCCACCCTACGCTACTTTGCCACAAACCTTGTCTTGGATTCGCAACACTGCTGCTACTAATCGAAACCCTATGGAACAGGGTATTAACGCATTGGTATGAAGAAAAACTCAAAATAAATCATTCCAACTCGCTACCTACTTCATCGAGAGTACCTACTGATTCTCAAAATCAAAGTATCGACCACATAAATGATAAAGTTTAACACCCTATTATGCACAGAGCATCGGCTTGATGCGAGTGAGGCTGAGTGACCATGGTGGAAATTAAAAATGACGCACATTTGCAAAAATAAAATTGCTTCGCTAGCGCTAAGGCCCGGCCTCAGGTTGACTAGAGGTTCAACACTAAGTCTCAGGTCGACATAGTTTGAACTATGGTTATCAAGCCTTAGCGATCACGTGTACTACTTCGAATACTTAAAATTTCAGCTAGTTCCTGGCAAACTCACCGTTCAGTGATGAAACAACCTGATCTATTTCAGTGGAATCTGAACAGTCGATGAAGGCGTATCCGCCCCTCTTCACCAAAACATTGGATGTTGACACGCCATGCTGAGAGAATAACTCTCTTAGAGCGTCCTCTGTGACATCGGTAGGTAGATTACCTACGTATAACTTCGACATCATAATTGATCAAGTAACAACCTAAACAAAACAAGAACACCAATTAAAATCACGACCGGCTAGTACCGCGTTTACTGCCAACAAAGAAGCGGAGTAGAAGTTTACTAATTTTCAAGACTGCCAGCATGCGACTGACGAGTTAAGATGAAGTAACGAAGGCGGAGCGTCGGCTACAGAGGAGGAGCTCAGCGCTACGAAGCGGTAGGACTACCCAGCTCAGGCCGCAGATAAATTCCTCACTTTCGGTGGGGGTGCCGAATGGACCAAGCCTAGCATATGATGCAGTAAGAGCCTAGAGGCTGAAGTACAGTCTCCCAAAGTCATCACTAATAAATTTGTGTGAAATTTACTTAGATTCTCCCTGAATTCTCCCCAACGAAACAAATTCCCTAATGAGCAACCAATACTGGAACAGCCATGGTTTCAATCAAGAAATTGAAAATATACTGAAATGGCTTCATATCAAAAGCCAGATATCGACACAAATCCAAGTCGCCACTCGTCATGTAAACAGCCGCCCGAATTCAGCAACCGAGTTCAATCTGAATTCAGAAGTACCTATATTTAAGCAGGCGTCTGACCTTCAATAGTATGATATCCATATCATCTTCACTAGCTTACTCGCATGCAATATTACTTATACTTGCACTGTAATTATTCAACTTGCCACTCCACGATTTCACTTCAATAGATTACGAAGATCATGGACTCGTGGTACACGCAAAGATGAAAGATTTCATGGACGCACATGCACTGATTAATCATACAATGTTCATATCGTATGGTCACTCGATCGACAGCAAGCATTCTATACGATAGAGTACAACTTCTTATCATCGTTCCATCTCGTACTATTCAAACGCCACTTATCACAGAAACCTGAACAGAGTGATCACAAATTTCATACGTGATCAGTGAAATTCGAAAGGTAAGGTATGAAACGTATCTTGATTGAATATGAAGGAGAAAGTGTTGCCAAATAAAGCAATTCAAGAGTGTATTCTAAAGCACTTTAGCGAACATTGTCAAATCATTGATCCAATGTTAGCTTCTAGATATATACCTGCTTAAAAAGGTTTTTTCATAAGAATTCATTATCTACCCTCATTAAGCAGCTTGATTAGAAATAATTCGAGCGTACGAAATGTGATCAGATAGGTTATAAAGCAAGTTAATCAAATCAGACCACATGCAGGTAGGCCTAAATTGAGAATTTGTATACTTAATCCATAAACATCTCGTATAAGTGCGCTATCACCTTCAATTTTGATCTATATGATTGTTTCCTACATGATCTATGTTTCTCCGAACTCACCTGCATGACTTACGATCGAGCTGTTCGGTGGTCAGTTGGGCAATATAGAACGATATGTTTTTCCGCTTTAATCGAAAACAAAATAACGCACAAATTTGTAATCATTCTTCCTGCGCGCAGCATTGCTAATAATTATTTATGTTCTGAATTTCATGTAGATCCATTTATAATTGCGTTACATGTGTCAGTTGTGCAAAAGTTTCTGCGTTGTGTTTGATCCGCTCATATAAGTTTGCTGCTGGTTTGTTCGAAGAAGTCCCGATTTGGTTCATTAATTGTACTATACTATTATAGTATATGTAAAATCCCGAAATGTGGATGCATATGGTTCGATCTTGAAAGTTTCGCTTTTATAGAAGACGGGAGGCCCCGTCTTCTACTTTCTTCCCCGTCTGAAGGTATAACGAAATTGGGGTTATTTTCAGACTTCAATGGGAACAATGCGTATTACGGATGTCATGCACCTTTTGAATTACAATTTTCGAGCTACGTGACTCACACAATCAATGCTTTATACAGTATAAATAGAAGGACTGCTGCTTCCCTTTCACATTAACATGTTTAATTTGTCGTTCTTCTTTACACCAATTACTTTTTTGATGCATGAGTATTATGAGCATATTAGGTGACGAGTTATCGCTTCGACTCTTAAATTAACGCTTGCGGTGCATTCGTCTATAATCTATAGATATAATTGGGCTGGCAGGCTCGAATTTTTCAACATTTCTCCACATTATCAGTTGTTCCTTACGTAATACTTTCTTACCAAGCAATTAGATTGCATTGTAGGAACGCAGAATGACTAAATAAATACGAAGGTATCAAACCTGATGTAAATTCAGGAACTCTTTTCTATGCACGGCATGAAATCTTTCAACATTCAAGAATACGAGCACGTCAATTGTTAAATGCTGTTAATGATCTTTCAAAAGTGACGAAGAATCGTCTGAGGAAAGGTGGCTTTTAAAGAGCTCTTTATATTAACTTGAATTATTCTACTTAAACAAGCTTCTCTTTGCTTTGCCATGCAAGTAATGTACTTTGGAGAGCTCAATTATTTAGTTGCGCAGCACGAAATAAAAGACACCAAGTCAAATGATCTTTAATGATAATGAAATTGGGTAAAAGATGAATTAAATGATATTCGATGAGAGCTCTCGTAGGCTTCAAGTGACTGCTAACATGGCTGTGTAAGAAGACTATCGGAAGAGTATTTATCTGACAAATGTATATCTGAAATTAATTGTAATGATATCATTAAAAAGACCCGGCCGCATGTGTAACACGTTTACCATGTAATCCTCGCACTTTTTCACTTATTTAGGATCTCACGAATATCGGTCTTGGCTGTAAAATATGGAAATAATGACTCTGGTATATACTGCTATGTATAGGGGAGGACAGCGCCCTCCCTTGCTATAGGTGGGGTGGCATAGCTGGACACTCGGAGGAGGAGGAGAGAACGACGCAGGAATCTACCACAATTGGACACCGGTTACTTTGAAATGAGATAACAAGGTCTTCGAAACGCATTCATGGACACACTCACCAAGCGCAGTCGTTGTTTCTACAGCTAGAATACAATTTTCACACGTTACGACGTATTTCTGAATGCGAGTTAGAAGTCACTTGCTGGAGAAATTAATCGATGAATAGAGAATGTCCTTTTAAAAGCAGATGCATCTAGAGTGTTCGTTCCAATTGTCAATACCGCACATTAAAAATGAAAAACTTGGTTTGGTACATAATGCTTTCATTACTAAAACAGGTTCAAATAAGCATATGAACTTCACGTTTATATAGAGGAGTATAAGAAAATTAATAAAGTTTTAAAAATGAATTGATGCTATAGGAGTGGCAGGCACATTTCATCAGCATCTTATTTGTGAATGATTTGAGGATTTATCATATTGTGACGATTTGAATCACAACAAATTAATCACTGAGCTTTGTGTATAAACATTGTCCTCTTCGAAGCATACTTGTGTATAAACATTGTACTCAGCGAAGCATACTTAATTGTGTATCAACATTTAATACTCGTCCAAGCGTTGAATGCTTGCGTTACATGCATGATGACGGTCTAATTAATGCTGCTTGAATTACAAACCACTGCCGAATGGACAGCACCTAATATGGCTTGATCTGACCGTGCTCTGATGCGAGTGATCCCTTCACTTTTTCAGACGTGGCACCGAAATGAGTGGCATATTTTGAATGGATTTATAACGGAATTTCTTGCTCATTGGAGACGGCTATTGGTCCCAGTTAGGCATTACGTCATTATTATTATGTGCCATAAACCATTTATCACTTTCTCTCGCAATCTAAATAGGAATTGATTTAAAGACACAGAAGCAATAACAGATTTTGGTCAAAGAACCTCGATCGAACGCACAGCACATGCAGCGGCTCATGGAACTCGCAATTGCGAGCGGACCAAGCTCGTGCAGCCACATTCCTGACAGCCATGTGCCTCCTGAGCTCCCCCTACACTGTGCTCCCCCTACACCACCCTACTCGTCATATTGCCCCTGCTCCCTACACTGTGCTCCCCCTACACCACCCTACTCGTCATATTGCCCCTGCTCCCTACACTGTGCTCCCCCTACACCACCCTACTCGTCATATTGCCCTGCTCCCTACACTGTGCTCCCCCTACACCACACTACTCGTTATATTGCCCATGCTCCCTACACTGAGCTCCCCCTAAACTGCCTTACTCTTCGTATTGCCCCTGCTCCCTACACTGTGCTCCCCCTACACCACCCTACTCGTCATATTGCCCTGCTCCCTACACTGTGCTCCCCCTACACCACCCTACTCGTCATATTGCCCTGCTCCCTACACTGTGCTCCCCCTACACCACACTACTCGTTATATTGCCCATGCTCCCTACACTGAGCTCCCCCTAAACTGCCTTACTCTTCGTATTGCCCTGCTCCCTACACTGTGCTCCCCCTACACTGCCGTGCTCCCTACACTGTGCTCCCCCTACACTGCCCTGCTCCCTACACTGTGCTCCCCCTACACTGCCCTGCTCCCTCCACTGTGTCTTACACTGTTTCCTTCCTAGACTGACCTGCATCTACTTACCGTAGATCCATACCCTGCCTTGTTTCAAAAGTGTTTTGCTTCCGACGCTGACCTGCTCTGACTTCACTCTCCTCTGATACCTCGTGTTTACTGATCCTACACTGCTCATTTTTCTACGCTAAAATCTCTTACATTCATTCGATAACTACATTACCCTGTTCCCCGATCGAGATGCCCAGTTCCACACACTCCCCTGCTCGCAAAGATCAATGTATTCCACTGTCCGTTACACGTCCTTTAAACAGCATCATGCGCACTGATGCACAATTAACATAAATTTTTGTCGTTTATCACAGTCCAGTTGTTTAAGCGGAAAATTTACCTAAACATTTTTGAGTAAGAAAACAACTTCAATGGTAAAAGTTTATGGTTCGTGCCGAAAACGCGCCTCAAAATTTGTAGATTTAACTTCAGTTAGGAATCTAAGTTGAAGTAAAAAAATTGTTTCAAGCAGCCGCGGTCGTATGTAGTACTGTAGTTGTATAGCTAGAAACTAGACAGTTTTCAATCGACAATAAAATTTATTTCTTGAAAGTGTACGTTGGTGTGAACGATGCACGCAAAGGTGGTTATTTAATGATATCAAATCTCCTTAATTTTCACAAAATAGTAAAATTTTTTTATTTCCAATGTGGACTAAGTAACTTGAGCGTCGTAATGAAACTGGTATAGTGTTACGTAATGGTAGTTTGAAATGAACGTAACGGTGAGGTGATGTGGAAAAGGAGAGACGTTGTTCA